ATCCAAAGTCACACATCTATTGGAGATCTGCCCCATGAGTAACAAACACAGTCCAGGAGTTTATTTCTTCCCTAGAAACCAATCAACACGTACGTCTCGACCTTGCCCCTTGAGATCTTCCTTCCTGCAGAGTTCAGTTTCACCTCTAACCAAACACACCTAAACCAGTTAATCTAAAGGCATTAGTCCCAATCTGTGCATAATATGTAGTGCTTTAAAGATTAGTACATCCAGTGTCAGTGGTGCTCATCCATTTCAAAGTACTTATTTTACATCAAGTATGTACTTTTAATGTGCAGTAAAAGTATGCAAATTGGGTCTCCGTCAAGCTCCTGGGGTTCATTCCAAATTTATGGCCTGGTCTATTTGATTAGAGCTGAAAATAAAACTCAGCAGGAACCAAGAACCAGGTTATGTAAATATGCTTTATAGCCTCAATAAATGAGTAATAGATCATCAATATATTCCAAGATTCTGCATGGAAGACATTCACTGCCGTGCAGTGGAAGCTATATGCTCTGCATTGGAAGTAAACCTTTCACGGTGACTGCCTTACCATTATTTGATTTATTTCCCATGCTGGTCTACTATTCTGCCCCCAAAATGTAAAGAACCATAATTGTTCGCTTCTAAACAAACAGCCCCTTGTCATCTTTGGTGGGTGGTTCTCGGCCAGAATGAGCTGCAATGCAGACCAGATTTAACGCAGTTAGTCTGAAGTCTGGCTATGGGAGATTAGACTAAATTCGGCCTGGCTCCATCTGTAATTTTATCACTCTCATGGTTATTTAGGAAGGCTAGTGGAGGCAGAAAAAGCAATGTTACATAACACTGTGTAACGGATAGCAGAGGGTCTCCTGCAGTACTGAATGGACAGGATTGGAGCAGAAGGTGTGACGCCAGTTCTAATATTTCTCGTGTGTGGAACTTAACAGCTATCAAAAGGAATATATACACTCTTAAAAATAGGTTCTCTTAAAGGGGTCCTATTATGCTTTTTCAACTTTAGCTAGTCTGTGATGTTGCTGTTTGAGCATAAAAAAAGATCTGCAAAGTTACAAAGTCCAATTCAAAAGGAGATTTTATTGAACAGAAATCACTTTTCAAAAACTACAACGAACGACTCGTTTGGACTACAACGCATATTTTCCGGGATTTGTGATATCAGAAAGATCGACGAATGGGACGAGACCTGGTTGAGCTGCACCAGAGAAGGCAACGAGTGTTATCACTATGTCGGAGACACGCTAGCTTTCCCAAGGCAGACGAACTTAGAGTGGTTACAATCATCCAGGTTTAAATCGTGCTCAAATTGATTTGATATTGACGCAATATTTACACTGAAGCTCGCAGGCGGCTATGGTAAGGGGCATGTCATTTCCCGACCAGGTGGTGCCAATCACAGCACACACTGGCCCAGCTAACCAATCACAGCACATTTCGCATTTCAGAAGGCGGGCCTTCATTTGATACAGGAACTATTCGAGCCGTTCATGCCAGACTGGGGAGAGAGGTGTTGTAATAATGTAAAATATGTGAAAAGTAATGTGTTTTTCTATCAACCTAGTATGCGAGCATCAAGACTTTGTAAAAGAGCATAATAGGACCCCTTTAAAATTGGGGTTGCAGCTACACCATAGAGGAACTGAGTTCTAAAAAAAAAATCTTTCAGTGAACAATTCTTAAAAGAAACATGTTTTTCTAGGCGTGAAGAACATTTTAATCTAAAGAACGTTCTTTCACTATAAAGAACCTTTGGTAGAATGGAAAGGTTCGATGGATGTTAAAGGTTCTTAATGGAACCATAGATGTTTATAAAGAACCTTTATTTTTATAAGTGTATTAAAGGCAAGCTGGTGATGCCTTATGCCAGGTATACGCTACATGATTTTCAAAGCTGTCAGATCGCTGTTGCCAAAGTTGCTAAGGTTGGCACATTACATGCCAGATGGATGACTGAGAGGGTCGTCACACATTACACACTATTTCACTACGAAGAATCCAGACAATTCGGTCTCGTTTACAGAACGAGAAGTGATACAGGGAATGACATAAGATCACGTGTGAGTGGAATTCTGTTCGAGACTGGAATTCCTCCAAAGGAAAAGAAGCAGCTCGCGCTCCAGGCTGTCCGTATGCTGATTTGCAGTAAAAAAAAAAAAAACAACAACAACAACAACAACAAAAAACAAGAATATGGAGGAAAGAATGGTTGGGGAGATGACTCTACCCCATGAAATTTCCAGACAAACCCAGCTATTGGGTTAAAACGGGACAAACCCAGCTATTGGGTTAAAAAGGGACAAACCCAGCTATTGGGTTGTTTTGACCCAGCGGTTGGGTTGTTTTGAACCCAATAGCTGGGTTTGTCCCTTTTTAACCCAGCATTTTTTAGAGCGTAGTATTAGTATTAAACTGTAAAGTGAAACTGATTGGTTCCACAAAGTAAAATGGAACCAAAATCAAAAAAGAAGAATTTTCTGATACAAGAATATTCCAATATCAATCGGAATTTGGTCATATTCTGGTTATTTTATGTAAATGTACGAACGAGCCAAAACCAGATAAAGTAAATATTACCGTTTTAAAAATTCTGTCACATGCCAGAATTCTGGGTCGTTTAAACACCTCATTTACAATATCCATAAGCAAACATTCATTTAGACATACGCATGGCTAAACAAAGGTAAATGTGGGTGATATTAGAAACAGAAAAGTGGGGGAAAGTCAAGCTACTGATAAAATACATTATTGGAGTAAGGAGGACAAACTTTTTTTATTATTATTACTACATGTATACAGGAATATTCCAGTATCTGTGGAATATGTAAATGTTTGCTTTCCAAAATAAAGCCATAACCAGAATATGGACTTTAATCAGAAAGTGATCTTGTCAAATTAGTGATTGCATTAAACTTAAAACGTATTGAAGATCATCAAGTAGTCCACCAGAGAGAGAAATAATAATGTCACAACAATGGTGCGTTATGTCAGTTTTGTAATACTGGAACTATGAAGCTTTTTGTAAACGTAAATTCCTCAGGAGTATTCATTTAAGATCATGTGCTCACTAGTGTAACACACACCTGTGCTCAAGACTCCTTGAGCTCTCAACACCGACATGTTATACAATATACACTTTTAAATATAGTTGATATACGTTTGAAGCCATATATAGAAGGACCCTGGAGTTTGTCACGTCCAAAGCTCTGGGTTCTGCTGTGGTGAGCACATTCTAAGACAAGACCAAACGCGTTCTCATATGAAAAGTCAAAAACCCTGCTGAACTCTCACCAGGATGATGTTTAAAAAAGGCTGAGCAAAGAAACATTCTGTACTCTACACCAAGATGGCCGTCTCCACAGTGTTTTTAAGAGATCTTCAGTTGTGTAGCGTTTTTTTTTTTTCCGAAAAAGAATTGAAAATATACTAGTAAACAGTGTTGGGGGTAATATATTACAAGTAACGCAAGTTATGTAATCTGATTACTTTTTTCCAAGAAACTAGTAAAGTAACGCATTACTTTTTAATTTACAAGAGAATATCGGAGTTACTTTTTCAAATAAGTAACGCAAGTTACTTTTTTTTCCCCAATTTATTGATTGACAGCTCTCCTGTCCCCATGCTGAGAGAAATCAGAAGATGTTACTGTAGTTCTCAAATAAATATGAATATGCATTCATTCATCTCACTCACCAAAAAAAAAAAAAACGAATGAAAATGAATAAAAATAATGCAGATAATAAACTCAGAATATGACGCAAACATGCAATAATTAAATGTTAAACAACACAAATATGCTTTATGTATTTATTCCCATTCTATTAACCAATGTCTTTGCTTCTGACCTTCGATGATCCAGTTCAATCATACTAATAAGCACAAATTACTCTAGACGAACATTTGTGTGTCTTTTTTTATTGCTGAAGTGTGTTGAAATGTCTTCTTCTGCATTCTACTGTACGGACGTAAATTTACTTTCCCTTCAGCCTGAGGTGCATTCATTTCACTTTTGGTGTGAAAAGGCTTTTATATTTGCCAAAAATAGAACTTTTTTTATTTTAAAAACAAACAAGCAAGCCCTGTCCAGATTTAAAAAGTAGCGCAAAAGTAACGTAACGCATTACTTTCCATAAAAAAGTAACTAAGTAACGTAATTAGTTACTTTTTTATGGAGTAAGGCAATATTGTAATGCATTACTTTTAAAAGTAACTTTCCCCAACACTGCTAGTAAATGATCTCCTTCACTGGAGCAACCATGTTTCTACATTAAATGGTCGTTTAAGTAACAAATAGCTATGATTACTTTGTTTATCAGCCCTGATTCTGAACTCTATTCTAGAATTTATGGCCACAGGACAAGATTTGCATTACTGCACTACAGTCATCATGAATGACAATTACAAACAAACTGAAAAGTAAAACATACAATCTCATAACAATAATGAAAACTCTTGAAAGAACTCTTGAGACTCTCTTGTATTGCTGGGAACCGTTTGGTAATCAGCTGGGAACCCTTGATAAACCCTGGCCAGCGTTCAAGTGCTGCCACTTCGTCCTTAAACGAATTATACAGGCTGCCACAATTTAGAGTTGTGCGTACAAAAACCGCAAATACCGCGGTTTTTCATATATGCTCTTTTAAAACATGCAATGCTTATGGCACGATACTTTTTTTCCCTTTTCAGACACGACGACACACAGGAGACCCGTGCTGAAAAAATGCTTACAGAAATGTTTAACGGGTTCCACTACAAATACCATTACAAACAATCAACTTAAAAATATCGTGGAACGACTCTTAAGGAAACGTTTACGCAACACGTCCATGCGTCCAAAAACGCGCAACAAAATGGAACTGAACGGATCTGGATTGGAGACACATTTTAAAAAGCTGAACTGTGTTGAATCTTGACAGACCGTCTTACAAACGCTGCACTCGTGAAAAAATAGTGTAGAGGAAACGCAAGGTGCGCTGAATGGCCAGGACGCATCTTACCTGTACAGGTGTTTGTTGCACGGGGATGACTTCAGCTTCTACGACAGGAGCGACGGGAACGGGTTCTTCCCTTTTCTTTTCAACAATCACCTCCTTCTGAACTGGAGCTGCTGGTTGCTCTACTATAGGCTGGTGATACTCAGTAACCCGCTCGGATTTCTCATGCTGTTTCTGTTTCTGTTCTTTCTTTTGCGCAGGTTTCTTCGCCAGGAACGCCGATGCAACTATAATGGCAATAATCGTAAAGAAAAGTGCGGACAAAATAACGGGCGCGTCTATAGCCATGATTGCCTGCTGCTGCTGCTGTCGTTATTGTGCGTAAAAGCGGACGCCTGTAAGACGCGGATTAGTGACCGCCTCGGCTCGTCCCGTTACAACACTTCTGAGCGAGCGATCTCATAAAGCCCATGTGCCAGAGACGCTTTCTGAAATGGCTGTGTCTTAAATCCGAGTCAGCTGCCTACATAGACAGCAATTCAGGGGCGCACTAGGACGCGCCTCCGAGTTCCAAAAGACGAACGATCCAGCGTTCTGAACGCTTACACGAAATAAAATGCATTAGTAGCCAGTCACACCATTTCAACCAAATGATCTTAAATGATGAATAGCTCAAGTGCATGAATAGGCTAATAGATCAAATAAAATGAACGGGCATCACGTTCCAAACGCAACTATTGAGGATTCTAAAAATGCTGCTTCTTGCTGATACCCATAAATGCTAGTTAGGCAGGTTATTATTAGGTTTTGAGACACAGCCAATGACTTTCTAAGCAGCGTCACTCCCTGAAGGACAGCCCATCCTATTAAAGGAGCAACGCTGAGAGGCGCAAAAGAAGATTCTTTCTTTTTTTGAAAAATAACATATTTTATTGTGATGGACAGTATAGTAGGCTATACGTCCCTACTGAACTTATACTAGCATATCTTTTAGAAATGTATAGAATTTTACCAGACTGCGTACAGTAAATTGTCCTTATAATGTTGATGCAGTATGGTTATATTTTTAATGGATATCGCTGCTTATAGCCTATATCAGATCGCAATATATTTCACATTCTCTCTAAAACTAACTTTAACCTTCTGATGCATGACTTAACTTGTTTTTTTCTTATAAACAGCAACACTATTCCCAATAAATGTCTTTAAACAAAGGCGTAGTTTACACGTTTTAAAATTGTGTGAAAGTAGGCTAGTTAAAATATCCTAAATGCATCATTTAAAGGGGTCATATGATGCGATTTAAATTTTTCCTTTCTCTTTGGAGTGTTACAAGCTCTTGGTACATAAAGAAGATCTGTAAAGTTGCGAAGACTAAAGTCTCAAATTCAAAGAGATATTCTTTATAAAAGTTAAGAGTAAACCACGCCTACCTAAAACGGCACGTTCTAACACGCCCCCACATATCTACATCACTATGTGGGAAGATTTGCATAACGCCGCCCAAATATTCACACAAAGAAAGAAGGCGTAACTTTTATTCTCGCTGTAGTATTGTTGTCGCCACCGCCATGTTGTGAAGGCGCTGTGTGATTCGTTGTGAAAGCGAAACTACTTTGTTTGGTCTTCCAAAAGAGGACGATATCGCTTCGTCATGCCTAGAGCTGATCCGTGCTGGTCACTGAGGAAATACTACAACTTTGCGCTGTGGATCGCCGGATCGGCTTTCACCGTGGACGAAGCGGAGTCCAGTCCGGGGTCGTCACATGTGGTTGCCGCAGGCATCACAATATGGTAAGGGACGTAACATTTCCGTCACACGCTTGAGGTATTCGGCCAATCACAACGCACTGGATAGCTGGCCAATCACAGCACACCTCGCTTTTTCAGACCGATGAGCTTTGTAAAAATCGACGCATTTCAGAAAGGCGGGGCATAGAGGAGAAACAATAATGTACATTATGTAGAAAATGTGTTTTTTTTTTTTTACCTTAAACCGCATAAACACATTACACCAAATACACAAAATAATGTTCTTTTTAGCAGCATCATATGACCCCTTTAATAAGTTGAGTTCAATCGAAGTTACTACAAATACACAAATAACCTAAAACAAATTAAGAAATGTGTTTTTTTAATAAAAGTCTTATTGTATTAAAAAAAATTGAATTTTACCTCTACAAACTATCTGGGATAAGAGATATTCTGCTGGTATTTGGTGCATGACCCCTTTGAATTGATCTCGTCATAAATAACCACAATGACGTATAAAGAGGAAATATGGCATGCAATGGTCAATAAAAATCAGCCATGGTGGTTTGAATGTACAGTCACACCCTGAACGGTTAAATATGCCCAGTGGACAACACGCGATATCTGGACAAAAACACTGAGAACACCAAGATAAATACATAGAAACCTTTATTAAACAATTATCATTAATAATTCTGTTTGATCTGAGCAACATCAAAGTGTCACATGACCGAGCCAGTGCTGAACATGGAACATGAGGAGCTGAAGTAAGAACATACCCTAGAGAAAACACTGACGATCTGGAGGCTTCATCTAAAAGCACAGGCCATTCATTAAAACACTAACATTAGCAATTCAAAACCACAGCTCTGAGAAATGATATGAGAATGTGAAATATGAGCAACCTGAATGACCAACATCAGGCAAAAATAGGCACTTTTTAACCACATCTTTCTCCTTGACTCGTACACAAAGAAAGCACTGACACAAACCCCTCAACAACACTCACTTCGATCATTAATCACCTCACACCATCACAACATGCAGCCCTGAAACATTTAGGTATTTTTGGAGTTACGCGATTTCCTTTAGTTAAAAAAAAGAATTGAAAACATACAAAAACATTATAGGCTAGTCACGTTTTCCATTTTGAACAGGAAATGTGGATTTTCATGAATTATGATTGCAAGATTTTCCCCCTCTTTGCGTGGCTCATAGCGCACTGTATAATAAAGAAGCGCCTCCTAGTGTTTCACTTACACAGAGGGGTTATAAAAGAAAAACACCTCGTATTTCAGTTAGTTGAGCTAAATTAACCATTGAATTCACTGCTAATAGACGAAAGAAGAGAAAAGTCGAGTTCAAACGTTTTTTTTGCGCATTCACAGTAGTTCCAACTTAAGAAAAGGTGCATTCAAACTTTTGGCTCCACTACAATGTTATTTAGGTAATACAAAGCTTCGCACATGAGATACCGACAAAATATTTACCGTTTTCACAAATTTAGAATTCGTTCCCTAATTTTAGTCAATTGAGGCCAATTTTTTGTTTAAAATTGAAACAACAAATTAGTACGTCAGCCACAATTTACTAAAACGAGGGAACGAATTAGACAAGGCAAACAAGGGATATAAGGAATTCTTCATTTGCGCAAACGATAGAATATATGAAGAGTTTATTTGCAAAAACAGATAACTCACAATAATATTTTATTGTGCTAGTTAGCTGTATTTGAGTTATTTTTTACCTAATCAAAATAACCCATCTGCAGTTTGATTGAGATTAATTGGAATGCACAATGAAAAAACATGATTTTCTGAAAATTAGTTAGTTATCCGTTTTCGCAAATTATATATATATAAAATCACATGTAGTGTGGCGCTCCATAAAGGGCTTCTAATTTAAAGTTTGAGACATTTTAAATCAAAATTCTTATGTAGAAGAGTGAGAAAAGGGACCAGAAATCACTGCTGTTTAACAGTTGTAAGTACTATGGGCTAGTTTAACCAAAAGACAAGAAACCCATGTTTAAGTGCAGCTCAAAAATAAAGTAGAATCAGTAATAAAATAATCAATGTTCTAGAATCAAAGAGCTAAAGGCAGCATTACACATCAGGCCAGACATATTACCCTAGATGGGTCATGATACATCTCTCACAAATCTGCACATAACCCCTGTGAAATACAAAAACGGCATCTGTTCTGAATCAAATGCAGATTAACGACATTGGCACTGGGACAGGAGACGACGTCAAGCTTCCTGTCCAGAGCCTGACATCAGCAAAGGCAACACAAGGAGGGTTTCCCTTCTCTTCTCACACACAGCTGTTGACTCGTTCATGCAATGCTCCTCCAGCAAGCACATATTTGGATATTTTGTTCATGTTTATCTCTAAAAGCGCACTAGGACAGAGTTTGTTATCATGTGCCCAGACGTGACGCAGAGGCAACCTCTTATCTAATGGACAGGAGTCTCCTGAGGGCGACAGACAGAGAGAGCGTGACGTTTCATGGTCTAGGAGACGATTATGGCTGCAGCCCCTCTGTTGTTGAGTGGGATGTCACCGAGACGAACTGCGCTCTTTGCTCACGCAGTCGTCCTGGCTTGTAATGTCACCGTTCCCAATCATGCCACAGGTTCTCCTCTTCTTTCTGCGATGGGTCATGGCGTCGCCCTCAGAGCCCGAGTCAGCCTTCAGGGAAAAGGACAAATGTGAGAACGTAAGCATCTCATGTACACATGAAAATATCCTCATTGGGATTTAATGAATACAAATGAAAATGTTTAAATGTTCAAAAACATACCTTGGTTAGTTTTAACTAGATTCACAATCTGTGTTATTTCTTGAATTAAACAAATTTATGTGAATTTTTAAAGGATCGTTTTGATTGAAATTAAGGTTCCTCTGATTTGGGGCAAATTGTTTGTATAAAAATAAACCGATTAGATTCATATTACTGCAGGACAGGAAGGGATCAGGAATATACATAATAATCTCTTATACTCACCAAGGCTGAATTATAAAAAAAATTTTTTTTAAAAATACAATATTGTGAAACAACCACAATTTAAAAAGCTGTTTTCTATTTTAACATGTAATTTATTCCTGTGACGCAAAGCTGCATTTTACATTACTCCAGTCTTCAATGTCACATGATCCTTCAGAAATCAGTCTAATATGCTGGTTTGCAGATCAAGAAACATTCATGAATATTATCAATGCTGGAAAAAGTTTAACACGTTTTTGAAGAACCAAACTATCAAAAAAATAAGTTACATTTTAATGACTCCTGTTTACATTCAGGCTGTTTAATATGCATTTAATGATTACCATTTTATATATATATATATATATATATATATATATGTGTGTGTGTGTGTGTGTGTGTGTGTGTGTGTGTGTGTGTGTGTGTGTGTATATGTATATATGTATATACACACACACACACACATATAACTCTGTATTTATGTATGAAGTGAAGCTGTGTTTATTTTTTTCTGTTTATTTAATAAAATATTTTGGAATTTTATTTTTTCCATGCGATTTAGTTATCTCATTTGCTGTCTATTATCATTAGCCTTTAGATGTTTGACAAGTAAAATAGTGTATTAGATTTACTCTTTTTCTTTTTTTCATATGTCAAACTTCTAAAGACCAACGATATTAGACAGCAAATGAGATAACTAAATTGCAAGGAAAAATAAAATAAACGAGATAAAAATAAAATTTTAAATAGGGCTGCACGATAAATCGAAATGAAATCGAAATCGCGATTAGCCAGAAGCTGCGATTGTCATGCGTATCTTTCAGTGAAGCACGGTTCTGTGATCAGTAGTAAATCTCCATCCAAAGGCCAGAGAACGCTCTCACGCGTGTGTATATGTATATATATATATATATATATATATATAGACAGACAGACGGACAGAGACTGACTGACTGAAAGACAGACAGACAGAGAGAGAGAGAGAGAGACCGACAGAGACTGACTGAAAGACAGAAAGAGAGAGACAGACAGAGACTGACTGAAAGACAGAAAGAGAGAGACAGACAGAGACTGACTGAAAGACAGAGAGAGAGAGAGAGAAACAGACTGACTGAAAGACAGAAAGAGAGAGACAGACAGAGACTGACTGAAAGACAGAAAGAGAGAGACAGACAGAGACTGACTGAAAGACAGAAAGAGAGAGACAGACAGAGACTGACTGAAAGACAGAAAGAGAGAGACAGACAGAGACTGACTGAAAGACAGACGGACAGAGAGAGAGACAGACTGACTGAAAGACAGAAAGAGAGAGACAGACAGAGACTGACTGAAAGACAGAAAGAGAGAAAGAGAGAGAGACTGACTGAAAGACAGAAAGAGAGAGACAGACAGAGACTGACTGAAAGACAGAGAGAGAGAGACAGACAGAGACTGACTGAAAGACAGAGAGAGAGAGACAGACAGAGACTGACTGAAAGACAGAGAGAGAGAGAGAGACAGAGACTGACTGAAAGACAGAAAGAGAGAGACCGACAGAGACTGACTGAAAGACAGAGAGAGAGAGACAGACTGACTGAAAGACAGAAAGAGAGAGACCGACAGAGACTGACTGAAAGACAGAGAGAGAGACAGACAGAGACTGACTGAAAGACAGAGAGAGAGACAGACAGAGACTGACTGAAAGACAGAGAGAGAGACAGACAGAGACTGACTGAAAGACAGAGAGAGAGACAGACAGAGACTGACTGAAAGACAGA